AGAGTCATGTCTGAATGAAGCCTTTCAGTTACATTTGTAAGTCAGCATACATGTAATACTTGTCCCTATTTCTCAGCTTGAACTAGCCACATTTCAGGAGTCCAGTAGTTAGTGACTACCACACTGGGCCATCATGTTCTAGCTAATTTTCTTTCTTTCTTTTTTTTTCTTTTTTCAGAACCAGGGATTGAACTCAGGCCCTTCCTCTTGCCAGGGAAGTGCTTAGCCTACTTAGCCATCTCCCCGGCCTCTCTAGCTAATTTCAAAGCAATAACAAACCCACCTATGACTGGGGCTATATATATATGTCAGTGATAAGAGTACTTTGCAAAGAATTTGCAAGCCCAAGTTTAACTCCTAGGGATTTAATGTTCAACAGTTGTTGGCAAAATTATTGTCACTAATTTTACAACATCAAAAACTGTTGGACAAACATTTGTACTGCATATCTGCATATGTTGTTACGTGGAGAGACGATTCTGTCTGGAAATGAAGCATTTCCTCTAAGAGATGTCAGCTTTGCCCAGGAAAGTGGCCTCTTGAGTTTTAGGGTGAGGTCAGTATGGGGTTGGTGGCTGTCTTTTCTTGAGGTGGGAAGGGGAAATTGAATGTGCTTCAACTGCCTGCCTGTCTCTGGTAATTGTTTGGAGCTGGAACAACTTGATTTTAAAACAAAACATATGGGCTGTGAGTGATTGGGAGGGCCTTTGCTAGTGATGTAGCTCCGAAGGTATGTATGAAGTAGGGGCCCTGGCCCAACTACACCCTTGCTGGATAGTGTTTTTCTTAGCTTAAATTGTGATCTTTTTCCAAATTCTTAGCCTTTGTTTGAAAGCCACAGTCAAAGCAAGAGATATTGGAGCAAGACTGTAAAGAAAGTTGTGAATCTTCTTTAAATCTTACTTTCTTTTTCTTTGTAGAAAAATGTTGGTTTCTAAGCTACTTATATGATTCATGAAAGAGAGAAGTTTTTTGTTTCAAAGAACTGAGAACAGAGATGAAAATGTGACTCCTCCACCCCACCCCCACTGATTCTCTCTGTTTTTCCTCCCTCCCAGTCTGACTCCAGCATGGGAATTTTTCTGTTATAACCAAAACTCACTTAAGGCTAGGGTTCCTTTTGCCCTTTATTGCCTTTGTATTTGATGGGGAGGAATCCACCATGTCCTGATCCTGTCTGATATAATTCTAACCTGAATGCTGCATCTTTCTGTCTGCAGGAGGAAAATGGGGATTTAGAGCAGGTTCTTGCCTTAAACCTCTACTCAGAAGAGTAGAAGCTGTGTGTTTCTAAATAAATTGTCCAAACTTTCTAAGCCTCATTTTCCTCTTTCCTAGGAAGGGGTTAACAGTAGTGCCTTGTAGGAGTCTCTTCCAGATCCTTGTCTCAGTCCAAGAAGTCAATATTTGTAATCCCAAAGTTATGTTATTGGAATCCCACCAAGTTAATTCCAAGCTACCACTTTCAGTGCAACCCATGGCAAAAGTAAAGGCACTAAGACATATTTTTAATTATTGAGGAGCCAAAGGGCTCTAAGTCCAGCCACAAAGATGGCTTTCCAGAACAAAGGGAGTGACCTAGGGCTTCACCCAGTTTTATTCAGTGGAGGAGAGGCTTGAGGAGGAATGACTGAGAATTGTGGGAAGTAGGTGACTACTGTGAGCTGAGCTAGGTGGGTGGCTTACATTTACCTCTGCCATATACAGAGAGAATATGCAGAGAAAGCAGTCTGCTTTATGCTATTGAGATAGTATCTCATGTTTTGGGGGGTCTGATGTAGTCTTTCAAGACCCAGAAAGTCATAGCCTCTATCTCAAGGCTTGATCCCAGCTTGGCAGAGTGGAGCATTGGCTCTTCATCCTGTCTTGACTCAGAGAAACATGCATGGCATCTTCAAAGACTTATCACCAGCAGCACCTCAGGTAGACCAGTATACATTGCTTAAGACCAATTGAAAGGATAACAAAAGGGGCCGGGGAGATGGCTCAGTAGAATAAGTGCTTCCCTGGCAAGCACAAGGGCCTGAGTTCAATCCCTGGTTCTACCAAAAAAAATAAAAATAAAAAAAAATAACAGAAGTCCTAGGCAGCTCTGTAAATATCAACATGAGGAAATAGGGTCAGGCTCAGTCAAAATGGAGACAATCGCTCTTCTTTGAAGGAGAGCTGCACAGGTGGTCCTCCACAGTGCCTATTTCAAAGTACAATACTTAATGAACATGAAAGAGACTTGCTGCTGATGGAGGACTAAACTCAATGCTGGGCAGGTAATAAAAGTACATGCAGATGGCAGGGGCTCTGCAGTAGCATATGTGTCTACCTTCTGGCAACAACAGGGATGGCTGACTGCTGTATCCTCTGGCTGATAACTGTGCTGGTGAGGACAGCCATTTGCATGCATGGGCATCAGCCTTGGGGAGTCAGCCGTGTTACCCAGGGTGAGGGTAGTGTGTGCAGCAGAGCTTAACCCTGTGCCTCTTCCCTGCTCCCTGGGCATCTGAGGGTCCTGTGCACTCACTGATCGTGACCACTCTGGCCAACACCTATAAACAAGATTGTGACATGATGAGTTGTTCTGTGTTTGCATTTTAATATTTAGGATTTGAAAGGTAAAATGAAATAGCACACTGACCAGGGCACTAGAGAGACTGACCAGTTTTCGCTGTTGGGATGTTGAAATAAAAAAAAGCCTTCTAGGGCCAGGGAGATAGCTCAGTAGAATAAGTGCTTGTCTGGCAAGTGCTGGGGTCCTGAGGTAATCCCTGGTACCCACCAAAAAAAAAAAGAAAGAAAAGAAAAGAAAAGCCTTCTAAACACTTTTTAAACAACCTCTCCTGTGGAGCAACAGTAGGAAGAACAATGTCTTGAGTTTTTACCACATCAAAGATGTGCTCAAACCTTTCTGTAGAGGGGCTCAGAAAGGACTGCGTAGTGCGTTTTTAAATATCAGGTAATTTTGGAGAGCTTTAAGAAATTCTGCTTCTAAGTACAGCACCGTGCTGCAGAGGGTGCACTGCTGCTCAGCCCCCCCTTCCTTTCTGCTCCTGCTGGTTTCCCAGTCCCACTTGGGTTTTTTAACTTTAGGCTCTAGAGTCAGACTCCCTGTTGTGAGCGGCTAAGACCCCTGCAGGTGCACAGTGCTTAGATTTCCCTGGAACTGTGAAGACTAGCCACTCTTACTCATGTTCTCTGTGCACGTTGGACAGTTTTCCTGACATTTAACTTGAGATGTTATTATATAATAAACAGTGAGTGCTACTGCCTTCACACTGAACCTTCTTGCCAGCCTGCCCACTCTTTCCATGTCAGTGTTTGGAAAGGAAATTAGAGTTTCTATTGACAGTCAAGATGAGGAATCAGATGTATCTTTCCTCAGCACCAAACACTCCCAGAGACCACTGAACTCTTAGTAGGGAGACAGCCCTTACAGGAGTCTTCCAATCTGTGCTACCCCAATTATATGACACTGTTATTTCAAGTATCGTATAAGGGACAAGAAACAAATATGATTTCCTATCAATTCTAAGACACAGCCTAATTCCAGAGATGTTAAAAATGTAAGGAAAAACATGTCTGTATCTTAGAGTGGATGGCTTGCAATGAGAACTAATGGAAAGGAGAAAGTCCCCTGTTCATCATCTCTTCCTCTTTGTCACCTCCCTCCCATCCTGAACTCAGCTGTGCAACAGAATCCTGACCTCTGTATTGGACCAAATGCTTAGATCAGTCCCTTGTATTGCCTGTGTGCACCAAGTAATGCATGAAGTTGTGGGACTGAGTTTAGTCTGGGAAGAGTTATGGAAGCCCTCTGAAACTGATACAGGCAAAAGAAACTCCCAGCCTGCTAGATGTCTGGTATGAGTTTGTGTTCTCTAAAATATGAGTTTGTGTTCTCTAAAATTGAAGAATGAATTTTAGAAACAATGGCAGTTAAGAGTATAATATATTTATTGAGGGAAAGAAAACTTCTGTCCAAGAGAGACACAGAAGGGGACAGTGGGTTGCCCAGGACCCTGCCTCTTCTAGGGACTTTTATAGAGCACATCCACTATGTGAGGTGGGTTCAAGGTGGGAAACATGGGAAATCACAAGGTACACATGAGGTGGGACAAAACTGTGGTCACCCAGTAAGATTAGGAGTATGATTGCTCAGGTAAAATTGATTGAATTGAGATCAAATGGGGAAGCCAAGTCATACAGGAGGAGGGTATGACTATATATTGAACAGGTGTTTTTGCTGTAGGGGGTTGGGTTAATGGCTATTCCTGGTTTTCTCAAGGTGATTGATACCTATTAGAATATCATTCCCTAGTGTTTATCCTTAGGAAGTATGTGAGTACATTTGTTTTATCTTATCTTGAGGTCTGGCCCACAGTTGTAAGGTATCTCCTTTTCTACACTGGCTCATTCATGGTCCTAGCCCAATCTGACTGCCTATAATATTTTAATCTAAATTATTTGTAAAACAATGAAATGACCTAAATTTCTGAAAAACAAAAATCTAGGAATTTGAGCTTGCCCATCGTGTATATCTAAGTGGAGGAGTAGAGGTTTGGCTAAGAAGGGCCAGGTCCTCTGTGACCTGTTCTGTCATAATTGTGCCATGCTGAAGAGAGAGAATTCTGGCTCTAAATTCAGACACTACCTACCCAAAGGCTAGTGAATATGGGGCCTCATTCCTGGGGCACTCACTTCTGTATCTCCTTTTCCTTTAAATGGTAACAGTCTATATTACTGATAACTTATTTTATTTGAGATTCTATCTAGTTTAATAATCATAATTTGAATCACTTCCAAATACCTATAGGTCTCCAGCCCTTCTTACTGGTATAAGTAATTTTAAGCAAATGGATATAATTCTTTTCCTGATAAAGATGGTTACTCAAATTTTAGAGACATCTGTTTCCTAGTCAGGTAAAATGAGAAAAGATTGAAAACTTTATTTGTGTTAGTAAAAACATATTGTTTGCCTTATATTTACACTGTTTTCTTTCTTTTAGTTTTTAGGAATAACATTCCTGGGAATTGGACTGTGGGCATGGAATGAAAAAGTAAGTTGCCTGTCACGAAATTTAGACGATACATGCTATATGTCTGCTTTTTGTCCTTGATCTTTATTGAAAGAGAGCATTCTTAGAAGATAAACAGTACATTCTCAAGGACTCTTGAAGAATGGAACCTAAAATGACCACTGCATCAAAATAATTGCAAAAGTAACAGTGCTCATGATGCAGGGGAACGAAACTGTCAACCTGAACAATACCTGGGATGAGTTCATGTTCTCTAAAACCAAAGAATGAATTTTAGGAACAATGGAAGTTAAGAGCAGAATATATTTATTGGGGGAGAAAATGCTTCTGCCTGAGAGAGGGGCAGAAGGGGACTGGAATGGGTTGCCAAGGACCCTGTCTTTTCTGGGCGTTTAGAGAAAATCCATGAGAGAAAGTGGGCATGGGGGAGGGACAAAACTTTATTCATCCAGTAAGATTACAAGCATAATTGCACAGAGAAAGTTGATTACATCAGGATCCAGTGGGAAAGCTAGGCACATAGCAAGTGGCATGAATACAGAGCAGGGACTTTTCCTTTGGTGGGTTGCATTAGTGACTCACTCTGACTTTCTCCAGGTGATAAGAGACCTGTTTAGAGTATCAATCCCTGATGTTTATCTTTAGGAATATACGCATGTGTTTTATCTTTTGTCTTGAGGTCTGGCCCATGGGGGGCGTGTCTTGTCTCTCCCACAGATGCAAGGTATTTTGTCTTCTGTACTGGCTCCTTCTGAAGGCCTAGCCCTGTCTGACTGCCTATAATATTTCTAACTCAGATGCCTCCAATACAGACACAATAGAAGATGTGTTTAGAACCTTATCAGCCTATATATAGTTTGAGTCGTCCGTAATTGGGACTTCAATTCACAGTAGAAAATGTAAAATGATCCATTAGAAAAGAAATCACGTGAATCACATGAGAGCACCTCTCTCTCAAAAAAAAAAAAAAAAAAAAAAAAAAAAAAATTAAAAAATTTTTTTTTTTTCCCTGGTGTATAAAAAAATACAATTTTATACACTTAAAAAAAAAAAAAAACCTTATCAGCCTAAAACCATGTTCCTATGCAGTATTCCTTACTTAGGCTCCAAAATTTTAGTAGTGTTTATAAATATTGCCAAATCACCTGGAACACCTCCCTGTCTCGCTCTCTTTTTTATAATTGGGAACATTAGAAATGGTATAGTATCTTAGTGTGTGGTGATGTCAACTGTTATCATGTGACATGAAGAAAGATGGATAAAAATTCATGTTTGTGCTGGGGAGATAGCTCAGTAGAATAAGTGCTTGCCTGGCAAGCACAGAGTCCTGAGTTAAATCCCTGGTACTGAAAAAAAAAAAAATCATATTTGAATGTCAGTGAAACTCATCACTAATGCTAAATAATGTAAATAGATGGCTGCTGGTTGTAAGTATTAAGAAATCCTCAAAGTTGATAGCTGCAGTATTGTAAGAGGAAAAACTTGGAAATATGGAGCAGCACGTTCTAAGATATAGCAAAGACGCAGAGTATGTGTGAGGATAACCTCATCCTCACAACTCCCTAAACTTCACATTGAATTTTTTTCCCATACAAGTTTTCCCTCCTGAAGCCACTACTAGAATTCAGTGGTGTAGCTGAATCCCCTCTTTCTTGCTATTTGAGGGAGATACTTGCAATGTTTTCTTTCTCTTAGTGTTTGGCTACAGCAAGGCCCATCTGACTCCCACCTTGTGAAAGTGGAGGGTACTGGGATTACTTAACTAACACTTCTGTAAATTGAGGGTTAGCTTAAGTTTTCCCAGAAAACCATTCTCTTATCTCTTTGGTAGTCACTCTTTGAAGCCAGACCACTGCTTGAAGGCAAAAATTCTTTTGAAGTGAGAAATGTGTTAGGGGCCATTATCAGTAAATAGGGGGAAAAAAAAAACCTAAGAAGTTCCAGCAAACAAAAGACTTTAGATGCCAGTGGGAATTTCCACAGTCCAGTGTTCAGAGAGACCATGTAGAACAAAAGTCAAAGTAAATCCTGAGTTTTCAAAATCTACCATTAGTAAAGATGTAGCTCAATGCCTTGACCATTGGTCCTGGATTTCACCTACAGCACCCCCCACTTCTAAAAATGAACCACTTTCTATTTATTTACATAATACCTTTATAGTATATGAAATGTTTTATAAAAATGAACATGCCCCCTCCAGCAAACAACTGTTTAAGGCAAGGCCATGATTATATATGAAATACAAGACAAATTAAATTCTCAAAACAGAGATAACTTTATCTCCAGGAACTTTTATGTTGCATATTAATCCTCTATTGGATAATGGTTATTTTCTGCCTTATCTTGGTTAAGCTTAGAGACTTGTACTGGTGGAATCTCAGAAATTTCCCTTCTAAAAGCCATCTAGACAACTCCTTCTTATAACTCCTTTAATAAGAATGCATTTGATGGTTAAATAACTCAGCAGCATAAGCAGCTGCGTGGCAAGTGCAAGGTCCTCAGTTCAAGTCCCTGATACTGCCCAAAACAAAACAAAACAAAACAAAATAATGCATTTGAAAAGAATGCTGGAAGACATTAAATGAGCATTATTTATTATTTATTCATGTAATAAACCAACATTTGGTCTTTTTGAAGAGTTTTTTCTGTTTAAGACATATAATTATTTTATATTTTATTGGTTGCTTTAAATGTCTCTTCTCTGATTAAATAACAAACTTCTAAAATTGGCTGTGTCTCACAATTAAGAGTGAAGGATGACAGTGTTAGAGAAGGATGAGATAGTCATCTCTTCTTTTTCAGGGCTTCTATTGTAGCAGCAGATGACAGCGAGTAAAGATAAGCCTCCCAAAAACAGACCAAGTGATTAGGAACAAGGAAGCTTGTATTGTGAATCAGCCTGAGACCTACATCCTAGATCCTAGAATCAGGTCATCTGCTTGAACTTCCTTTTCAGGTTATATACTTTTCAGGTATCCATAGCAACCACATTTCCACACTTATAGGAATTTTGAAAAATTGCCACACAACTGTTACAAAGTTTATATTCTCCACACACTGCTGACCACCTGCCAGTCACAGGACATTGCCATTTAACAGTTACCTTGATTCCTAAGCTGTTCTGTTTTACCCCCACCCCTTTTTAAATGACCTTTTTTTTTTTTTTTTTTAAGTGGGTTTGTGGTTAACTACAGGGGAGAGGGGAGAGGTATTGAGTTCATCTACAGTTTAAGTGAACTTCAGTGATTTTTTTGTTAAAATGGAATTATGGAAAGAAAATGGAGTTTCTCTTGCCCCATCATTCCCCCCTCAAGGACACATTTTGTTTTCTTTTCTGTTATAGACTGGTTATCTTCTTTAAAACCATCATCTGTATTTTGTGCATTGTAAAGTGTTATCTGCTTTTTAATCCACTGAATCAGACATGGGCTGAACATTAAAAGGACCATTATTATTAGGAAAGGCCTAGCTAAACTAGTAATAAGGGAGGTTAACCACGGGTTCCAACTAAACAAATCACTTATATTGGCTTTGTCTTGTCCTCCGAGGCACCATGGCTTTACCCGCTATTATAGGCCATTCATCTCCAGACAAGAGGCCTAAGCTTTGGACAAGCAAACATGAAAAGTCATTTGGTTAATATAAATCTTTCTTAGAGCTACCTTGTAGTGGTCCATGTTAGTTCCCCCTTCTCATTTTTGTAATAGCAGCAGTTGAAATATGACTAGCATTGTCTAGTTTGGTGGGTCTGTAACAGATTAAAAGCAGAAGTAAAAGCAAGTATGTTAATATAATCATTCCATCCCACAAATAGGGGGAAAAATCTTAACTAACAGTCACTCAGATAAAGAACTTCCATCTAGAATATATAAAAAACTTAAAAAAAAAAATTAAGCCCTCAAAATTCAAAGACCTAATCCAAAAATGGGTATCTGAGATAAGTACACACTTCTCAGAGGAAAAAATACAAATGACAAAAAATATTCCACAGTATTGGTCATTTGAGAAATACAAATTGAAACAACCCTGAGATTCCAACTCACCCCAGAAAGATTGGCTGTCATCAAGAAGCCAACCAATAACAAATACTGGGGAGGTTGTGGGAAAACGGAGCCCTTCTCCACTCTTGGTGGGAGTGTGAACTGGTACAACCTCCATGAAAATCAGTGTGGAGACTCCTCAAAAAAACTAGGATTAACAGTCCCATTCAAGAAGAACTGAAAACATCATACCTCAATGATATATGTGCATCCATATTTATAGCAGCTCAATTTGTCATAGCTAAATCTTGGAAGCAACCCAGATGACCATCACCTGAGGAATGGATAAAAAAGATGTGTAGTTTTATACAATAGAACATTACTCAGCTGTAAAGAAAAATAACTTTGAGACTTTTATAGGTAAATGGATGGAACTAGAGGCTATGCTCATAAGTGAAATAAATCAGATTCACAAATGTAAACATTGTATTGTTTCCGTAATGCAAGAACCTGAAAGAGTAAATAAAATCTCAGGGGTACAGTAGATATAGTACAAGGGAAAGAAACAACACAAGGAATAAACAATTGGGATGAGGGAAGGAGAAAAGAGGAAAACAAGAAAGGGGGAAAATATATATCTTTATACACAGGATAGCTAAGATGACTGTTCTACTAATTTCTATGAGTTTTTTGGTAGGTAGCAGTTAATTCTTAATTTTGGCCAATTTTATATGCTTATATTTGTAACCTGAGCAACCACATTGAAGCCGTGTGCAATATAACAATCACTGTTAAATGTGATATACTTATTATTGTGGGTTTTTAAAAAATATGTATTTTAATGTCTTATTTATTATTTTTCTATTCTCTCTCTCTCTCTCTCTCTATATATATATATATATATATATTATATATATTATATATATAATCAGTTCATTGTAGAATGCAAGATGGGTCTGGTGGCAGCAGACTTCACCACAGGTTTAAAGATCTCTTCTCTGTCACTGTACTGGGCCATCCTCCCTTTCCTACCCCTTCTCC